GTCCTTCTGTGCAGCTGATTACCTTATTAGACAGTTACCCTCTTCACTCTATAGGGGTCCTGACAGCTGCTGGTTGTTTGCTCATTTGGACAAAGGGAATCTCTCCAGGACCTTCATGATGTGGGATATCAGGGCAACAGGTCTATATTCACTAAGGACTGTTGGCCAAGTTTTCTTTGGCCCTAAAACAATGCAGGAGGTCTTCCTCAACACTGGAACTGTCTCCTGGGTCAGACTAAGGTTGAAGAGGTGCTGTAGAATCCCATATCGCTGCTCTGCACAGCCCATCAGGACTCTGGATCTGACACCATCAGGACCTGGTGACTTCTTACAATTCAGTCTCTTCAGGTGCCTCCCTCTCATGGAAAATGGGCAAGATAAAACATTAAAGGTGTCACGAGAAGGGTCAAAGGAAGGTGGCATGTCTGACTGTGGGGAGAAACGAAGGATGCTGAGCTTCTTCCTAAACTGAACCTATGGAATAATGCATTCAGTTCATTGGCTCTATCCTGACTTCCACCTGCTTGATCCTCTTTTTGCTTGAAGTCTCTGATCTTCATCCCTAACCACTCTGATGCTGTTCTGATGCATCTGGAGAACTAATGCTCTCCAGTTTCCTCCCATATGCCTCCTTGCTTACTCTTACTTGATTTTGAGTAACTAATGAGCCCTTTATTTGTCTACAGTCCAGGTCTCTGGAATGAACACCTGTGTTTGAAGGTCAGCAGGAAAATGATAAAAGGTCGGCTGAAGACACGTCGTATTTTTCATTCTGTGAAATGTCTTTCATACAGTTAAGTATGCTTCTTTTCTCCTGATTTTTCAACCAACTTTGAGTAGATATTATAAGGGGAGAATGTTTAAAAATAAAGTTTGATTTGATAAGTTAAATCAGGTTTTAACCAATCATTACTTTTGTATTATTTGGCTACTAATGATAATTGTCATTAGTCAAACATGAATTTTAATGAGGTTAAAAAAGTATAGCAATGATTATGGAAGCAGGTAATCAAACTAATCTGTTTACCAATTTTTTGCACAACTGAATCTCACATACACACTTTTATCAACTTTGCCATCATTTGAGTGTTATTTGCTCAATGAACAGGAAATTGACGATTTAATGTATTTCTCTCTTGATAAGTTTTTAAATATATTTTACTTATTGTTTTAATCCTGAGCACAATGAAAAAAATCACTCTATAGTTGTTTTTAAATCATATTTCATGTGGACATAAAAAAGGTAAAAATTTAAAAAAAATTTTAAATATATCCTGTAACTTGTAGATATGCGCTCCATCCAATCTAATTGAACCTGAGCTCTTTAACAGAAAGAAAACATTTAGAACTCTACATCATAGTGAGGACATATATGTAAGCAATGCACATTTAGAATATAGGTTAATAAGTTATGGAATGTGATGCATTGTAATTATGTACACTGCTGTGCTGCACATACAGACGTGTCCATTTATTGAATATCTGTGCCCACCTGCAGGTTAAATTGCGCTGAGAATGCTCCATCTTCCACATAGCTGATATCGTTCTTGGTGAGGTTCAAATAGGTGAGGTTTCCAAAGCGACTGAGCGAGGAATAATGCACTGACCGTATCTTGTTCTCATTCAGCCTCAGATCCACAATTGTGCTGTAAATAGATGTGAAGTTATTCAGCAAAAGTAACAATTAAAATGAGAAATAAGCTTTCCTCTATTAGTGTTATTTTACCTGTTAATTTGGGAGGGAATGGCTTCATAGGGAGGCTGGTTCATACTGCAGATGGCCAGCCACACAAAGCCTTTCTCCCCTTCGATAAGCCAGCAGTCAGCTGTTACAGACGGTAGTCGGAGCAGTGACAGCAGAGCAAGCCAGCAGAGGAAGGAGCTGGCTGTGGATAAGATCCCGGATGAAGAACCACCAGCCTTGTTATTTCTCATCTGTCTTGATGTCTGGGCCATTTGGGATGTCATTACAATATCTGACGGTGAAATCCAACCAAAGATCCCTGCCATTTAACATTTATTCCTGTAGGCCACAGCCATTGAAAAGAGGATTCTTTTTATTTCCACTAGAAATAATCTCTGTATCGAAAGTGATGTTTTATGTTATCTCTGTTTCCTATATGCTTGTATTTCTTGCTTTCTCCTTTTTCTCGGTTTTATTGAAGGGATAATTAGAATACTGGAGTAGAAATGAGTGTAACAATTGGAGTTGGCACTTTACTGGCAGGTTGTGTGTCTAAGTAAGCAGCATCTATCCCTAAATAAAGTTCACAATAATTATTTCCAATATAAATTGGCAAGTTGAATTTGTCCTGCTGCCAGACTGATTTTCGTGTCCTCTGTGGCCATCTCTGATTCGATGGGTGTCTCTTCTCATTCTCCCTTAGCACTTGATGGACTTCCCTTGGTTTGAGAACTTGTCCCTAGTGAGAAAACACAAAGGCAAAAGAGATAAGGGTGTTAGGCAAGGATCTCTAATTAAACATAGGCGTTTGTTTGTGAGACACAATGATCTTAGCCCCATTACTGAGACGCTTAGAGAGAAGGGAGAATATTCCCTCTTGGCTGACTTAAAGAGATGCAGCAGACACACTCAGTGGTCAGTTTCTAAACTCCAAATACATCATGAAATGAATACAAATCACACCTGCATGTTTTTAAAGGGTATTCCTGCTGTAAATTCACACATTCTATACTGCTGCTCCACTATTAGCCTCAGGGCATTTGGTTGGCCCTACTAAGAATTGCAGAGTTCAAGATACTGTTTCTAATGAATTTCTATGCTCCAAATAAAACACTTCCTGGGAATTAAAATGAAAAAAAAAAAATCTGATGTATGATGGATCAAGAGGCTGAGGGGGCTCGCAGCAGATCTCCCAGTAAAAATGTGTGTGAAGGGAAGAGATGAATGCAACAAACAGTGAAATGAAAGGAGAAATGGTGACGGTTAGAGAGAAAGAGATTTGGCAAGCTGGTTTGATAAGCAAAATTCTGGACAGAGATTGGAATGAACTGCTTTTTGCGTTTGTTTGAGGAATTACTTTGAAAAGAAGCAAATCCAAGAAGTAACCGACATCATGGAGTTGAAAGAGTTTGAGAATGAGTGAAGGGTTTAGCTTCCCCATAAATGCTTCTTTTGGATTTCTATCTTCTGCAGAATACAGATGAGTTGAAAAGCAGGGAGGTTCTGATGTGCCAACATAGATCAGATACTACATGGCAGAAGGGGAACATACATTTGTTTTAAATTTAATCCCTCTAGGTAGATATATCACTTTGATATTAAAGTTAAGTATGAAGTATGTGCAGATTCTGCAGATGATTTCCACCAATAAGATCTTGTTTCCTGGAATATATTTTACATATTATAAACAGTTTTTTTTTTTTTTTTTTTTTTTTTTTTTTTTTATATATTAAACTAAAAACAGACAGGTGTGTACTGTAAATTAATTAATCTCATAGGAGTACGGTTAGGACACTCTACATGTTTCTATAGTAAAGCTGTTAGGTTTTTTTTTCCTTTATCTGTATTGTTCTGCACATAAGCCGGTGGGTGCATCACATCTGCAGTGTTCCAACCTGGTTATTAGTATTAAGCACAATATATACTGAAATGCAAAATGTGCTGTTGCATACCTTTTTAAAATTGGTTTATGATATATGTTAACCTTTTATCTTTAAATACCAACTAAATTAATTAAATCTTATATGTTTTGCTTTCAGCCTCACTAATATCACAAATAAAAAATGGCATATGTGTTTGTGAGATTATGTTAACTTGGAAGAGCTCTCCCACCCGGTCAGCTAACTCTATAATTGATGGTGAGACTTCCTCTCAAACAGCATCAGACAAACTCTGTGCCCAGCCAACCAGGCGAAGGGTAGGAACTGCTGCCAGCATATTACACACAACAGGCGGATTCACTGTGGCACAGGAAACGGTCTTTCTGCTGACCAAGGGTTAAGCTTAGGTAAACAACCGTTGAGAATGTCATGGGGTGCAGGAAGGATGCAGAGATAAAGAGAACACCCAGCAGTCACTGTAGAATGAGATGCAGAGAAGGCTGATTCCTGTGTGACCTCTCTTTGCAACGAGGCAAGTAATGTCAACTGAAAGAAGAGATGAAGGAGCAGGCAGTACAGGCCAACTGAGGGAGATATGTTTGCACTTGCCCCCATTTTAGCATTTTTGCAGTTAATACACATGTAACAGCTAACATGATACACACAGAAGGAACTGTTAGAAAGCTGTCGTCCTCTTTTCCATTTTGCATCATTCATTGGGCTGCCTGCTACGCTCCAGCTCACAGTGCTTACTTGGTCCGTCTCAGCTGTGGAGAGCTGCCCTGTGGAATATTTCAGCACTCGGCATCATGACCGCTTTACCTCCCTGTCATGTCATGCTAAAAAATTTATAAAGGTACAAACTGTCATAGGAGAAGAGACTCTATGTGACTTAAGCTTACTATACAGGTAAGGAATATTGCTATGATGTCATGTAGAATTGGCAGAATATTATATTTGTTTTAGTAATAGTCACAACAACAGTGTGCTACATTTCATGTGGCATGATTTAGATGATCAAGTCCCTATCTTGCTATGCTTATTTACCTAAAAATAATAATAACTTTTGCAACAACAAATAGACACATAAAAAAAAAAAAACAAGTGGATTAATTAATGAAAAAACATTCATCGAAATTTGATCATTTTTCATAATTATTTGTTGACATCCTAATAATGTCCCCCTTTCAAACGCAGCAGAACATCGAGAATTTCTCCCCATTATATTTACGCATTATATTTAGAACAAAAAAGAGGCTGAAAAAATACTATTTCAAAACTAAATATTTATTAAAAGTGCCCATGATTCAGAGGTGTTTAAATAATTATGTGATCAGGTCAGCATTTTCAAGGATGGATCAAAGATTCCTTAAATAACACTACTATTTTGGCACCAGGTATAATAAGAGATGTTTGGCTAACAGAGATGTTTTTTCATAAAATTTTGTAAGCTGTCTTGATGTTTATATATTGAAATTTATATTAGTGGCCAAACCAATACAATAAGTATAACAAATTACACAAAAATGTGTGGTTTCATGTTTTTGTGTACAAAATAACACCCAAACACATACGATTACTTCACCACATTGCCCCTTTCCTTTCTTCTGTGTGACTGATGAGAAGCATTTAGAGATGGGTTTCCTCCTGGGCAGGTTATGACTGAGGCAGAAATATGAGCACATTAATAAGAGACACACACTCATAAATACACACAGCCACACGGCTATTCACATAAACACAGGCAAAGAGACGCATCCCGCAGCTCTTCATTTCAGTGTGTAGTGGGGCGTCACACACTCAAGCAAGTACTCTCATTACTATTCAGAAGCAATGTGCAAAGCAGCAGCACCAATGTAGCTAAAAGTCATCAAGAGAAAAATGATGGAGGTGAGGGGAGAAGACAGATGGCTAAGTAGAGTGCCTGTGTGGGTTTGGACTCAAACAACATCCGTAGTGGTTTTGCAAGGAGGAAGCTTCATTTGTAAGAACAACTTTTTTAAGGTGATGAAGTTATATGTCTAACTCTATTTGATGCTACCCACCAGAGCACAGTTTTTTTTTTATTTCTACAAAGGTTTTTACTCAAAGGTGACCTGTGGTTTTCCACATGATGATGAGAGGCCAGAAATCTGAACTCTTGGCCTTCAGATTATTGGACAACTGCTCTATTACTTTAGCTGCAGGCAGCCTTTCTTGTTCTCCACAGAAATTTTCGATGATGCACAAGCGCACCACTGTTTTAGATCGCCAGAAGCCAAAATCAAACCTACCTTGAATCCCTTTGGTAGCTCAGTGGCTATTTTGTCAGAAAATCATTTAAGTCCAGATTCTCATTTTATCCCAAAAAAGGTATCCCAAAAAGGTTAATGAATCGTCATAACTACTTAATAAAAGAAACAGGATCACAATAAGAATTTATTTGTATCAGTTATATTTTAGAGCAGAGTTAGCAATATTTCTGGAAGTTGGGTTCCTCATTCAGCAGATATAGTTAAACTTATCAGTATGACAGTCAAAGGCAAACTCAAAGTCACATGTGACCGGATCCTGTGGTACCACATGTAGTTAATAGAATAAAATAAAATAGAATTGAAAAAGAACCAGAATACAGAGTGGGGAAAAAAATTAGAAGATGAAGAAAACGTACACAAATATGCATAGAAAACATTTTTCACACATAAAAATCTCAAAGTGCTTCATGAGAAAAAAAGAAATGATAAAAGAAACTCATTAGTGCAATACTGTGTAACTGTTTAGCCACTTAAAGAGCTAATACTGTAACCTCCAGGTTTAACATCCCTAAAGCACTGTTACTACTGCACTGTTGGAAAATTAAACAGCTTCCGTAATTTCTGTACTCTGTAATCTAAAAGCAGAACACTGTGCTTTTGCTTCTGCCCTTTCTGTCTTTAAGTTTGTGTCCTGTATCTTTCTTCACAGCATGAAAAACACCTGTGTTTATATCCCAGATATCAAAAAGCAAGAGGCACTTCCAAGTAAAGGGTGATTGAGTGTTTGTGACAAGGAGACACCATAAAGAGCACAACAAACAATAAAGGAAATGGAACAGGAACAAAGACATGTTGCGATTTGACAGGCAAAACCATCTTCATCTGCTTTATCATTTCAGACTGATGTATTGTAGTTTCTAGAGCTGTTTAACCATCTTAAACAGTAAGCAAAGAGTCATTTAAGACATTTGACTGCCTATACAAGCTTAACCTTTCAGCCGGTTCATATTTTATTCAAGCAGCGGTCAAGTAGAGAAGTAGAGAAGCACTGGGTCGTTCTTAATTCTCAGGCTGATGGTGTCCCAGATGGCTTTTTTAGTATCTCTGGTTAAATGGCATATAAATGTAAAACAAGGCATTTCTGCAATTTTAAAGGGGAATAAAAGAGGTTCTCTTTCAGTGGTTTATGTGTTTTTGTTGCACTCAAAAAAGTTACAAAACCACAGACTACAGTTAATGTTTTTCTTCACAGAACATTCTTTTCTAAGCTGCTTGAAACACCTTGTTTGAAGTCCAAGCTTTCTCTCCGTCACCATGAAGGACATTTGCATAATGTCTTCTTAGTGGCTGGTAGGACACATTTGAAACAAAGAAGGAATTCAGCAGTTTTTTCCCCTCATCAAACAGCAATGTAGTCTGAACACAACGGTCCTCTCAGGAGGGCATCTAGAGATGAACTATAATGGATCGTTTCAACCAGAGATGACCGCAGTTTCTCTGCTCTAGCTGCAAACAATAGGGTCTGTTTTATCTGAAACAACAACATATTTACAATGCTCTGTAGGGATATAAACTAGCACACATTTACCTCTGATTTTATTCAATTACAG